TAAAACAAAGGGTTGACAACAGGTTAAATAGGGTAGTCAATAAAACAAAGGGTTTACAACAGGTTAAATGGGGTAGTCAATAAAACAAAGGGTTGACAACAGGTTAAATAGGGTAGTCTCTAAAACAAAGGGTTGACAACAGGTTAAATAGGGTAGTCAATAAAACATAGGGTTGACAACAGGTTGAATAGGGTAGTCAATAAAACATAGGGTTGACAACAAGTTAAATAGGGTAGTCAATAAAACAAAGGGTTTACAACAGGTTAAATAGGGTAGTCAATAAAACATAGGGTTGACAACAGGTTAAATAGGGTAGTCTCTAAAACAAAGGGTTGACAACAGGGTAAATAGGGTAGTCTCTAAAACAAAGGGTTGACAACAGGGTAAATAGGGTAGTCTCTAAAACAAAGGGTTGACAACAGGTTAAATAGGGTAGTCAATAAAGGAAAGGGTTGACAACAGGTTAAATAGGATAGTCAATAAAAGAAGGGTTGACAACAGGTTAAATAGGATAGTCAATAAAACAACCCGTTTGACAACAGGTTAAATAGGGTAGTCTCTAAAACAAAGGGTTGACGACAGGTTAAATAGGGGAGTCAATAAAACAAAGGGTTGACAACAGGTTAAATAGGGTAGTCAATAAAGGAAAGGGTTGACAACAGGTTAAATAGGGTATTCTCTAAAACAAAGGGTTGACAACAGGTTAAATAGGGTAGTCAATAAAAGAAGGGTTGACAACAGGTTAAATAGGATAGTCAATAAAACAACCCGTTTGACAACAGGTTAAATAGGGTAGTTAATAAAACAAAGGGTTGACAACAGGTTGAAAAGGGTAGTCAATAAAAGAAAGGGTTTACAACAGGTTAAGTAGGGTAGTCAATAAAACAAAGGGTTGACAACAGGTTAAATAGGGTAGTCTCTAAATCAAAGGGTTCCCATTAACAAAAGTTTAAATAAGGAAGTTTCTAAAACAAAGGGTTGACAACAGGTTAAATAGAGACAAAATGAGAGACACTAGAAAAAAGGAGTGTTAACAATGGTAACTAACTTAAAAAGAATAGGGAGAGACAATAGCAACATTAGCAAAACAAAAATGGGGACAACAGTATTACCATGGGTGATACTAAAATAAAAGGGGAGACAACAGTATTACCATGGGTGATATTCAAATAAAAGGGGAGACAACAGTATTAACATGGGTGATACTAAAATAAAAGGGGAGACAGCAGTATTAACATGGGTGATACTAAAATAAAAGGGGAGACAGCAGTATTACCATGGGTGATACTAAAATAAAAGGGGAGACAGCAGTATTACCATGGGTGATATTCAAATAAAAGGGGAGACAACAGTATTAACATGGATGATACTAAAATAAAAGGGGAGACAGCAGTATTAACATGGGTGATACTCAAATAAAAGGGGAGACAACAGTATTAACATGGATGATACTAAAATAAAAGGGGAGACAGCAGTATTACCATGGGGGATACTAAAATAAAAGGGGAGACAGCAGTATTACCATGGGGGATACTAAAATAAAAGGGGAGACAGCAGTATTACCATGGGTGATACTAAAATAAAAGGGGAGACAACAGTATTACCATGGGTGATATTCAAATAAAAGGGGAGACAACAGTATTAACATGGGTGATACTAAAATAAACGGGGAGACAGCAGTATTAACATGGGTGATACTCAAATAAAAGGGGAGACAACAGTATTAACATGGGTGATACTAAAATAAAAGGGTAGACAGCAGTATTAACATGGGTGATACTAAAATAAAAGGGTAGACAGCAGTATTAACATGGGTGATACTAAAGTAAAAGGGGAGACAACAGTATTAACATGGGTGATACTAAAATAAAAGGGGAGACAACAGTATTACCATGGGGGATACTAAAATAAAAGGGGAGACAACAGTATTACCATGGGTGATACTCAAATAAAAGGGGAGACAGCAGTATTAACATGGGTGATACTAAAGTAAAAGTGGAGACAACAGTATTAACATGGGTGATACTAAAATAAAAGGGGAGACAGCAGTATTACCATGGGTGATATACAAATAAAAGGGGAGACAACAGTATTAACATGGGTGATACTCAAATAAAAGGGGAGACAACAGCATTACCATGGGTGATACTAAAATAAAAGGGGAGACAACAGTAAAATGGGGACACCAAAACATAGACAGAGGCCTAAAGAAAATGTGGACAACAGTATCATGGGAGACATGGGATACAAATGGAATGGAAACAAATTAAAGCATGCAAAGATGACAACTTCACCCTCAAAACAAAGGGGGCATCAAAACAAAGTGAGGGGAGCACCAGAACATAGGGGGAGGCATCAAAAAAAAGTGAGGGGAGCACCAGAACATAGGGGGAGGAATCAAAACAAAGGGAGAATAAAAGCAGGATCAGGAGAGACCTCGGAACAAAAAGTCAAACTGCAAATCAAAATATGAGAGAAAATTGCAAAAGGAGAGACAAACAAATGGCATAGCGGGCAACCGCAGAACAGTGATGATCCAGGTAGAGTTGTCTTATCAAATGGAACAGCTGATAGAAATTCTGTCACTGCCCTCTTGATATGAAAAAAAACCTAAATATGTATTTCCTGACAACTTTCTAAAAGTTTCAATGGGAATAAAATGTGAAGCAAAAATACCTGGTATTTTGTATGTAAATAAAACTATTCAATGCTGTTATTTTATTTCAATTTGGAAGACGGTTAACGAATTGTAATTGTTACAATTAACAATTTTGGGTTAAAATAACAGGAGACTTCCAAAAAGCGGGAAAATTGTCAGAGTCCGTGTTTGAATGCAAAATTACTGATAGGATAAAGATAACCTTTCACCCGAGTTGAACTTCAAACTTTGAAACAGGCTATAGTGAACTCTAAACAGATGCTCGTCATGATTGCCAGCAGCCAATCAAATTTAAGTTTACAAAGCGGTGTTGGAGTTACATTTCTCTGACCTCGGAAGCAAAGGAAAACACGACGAGTCGGTAACAGAATTTGGATAATTTCTCATTGCAGCTTTCTCCTGAAAATGAACAGGTAGGTAATTCCGAGTAATGCATATGCATTGAATAAACCCTTCAAAAAACCGAACGTTTAAAGCTGAGGATTATCCACAAGGCATATTCGGCCAACACAGGTTGAATTTTGTTCGATTTGGCTGTTCTGTTAATTTTCTAGCATCATTACCGAGGTTTATTAATTAATCTCCATTTGTGACTGTTGTCCATACTCTATAGAATAAATGGACAATGACATTACACCAAACATATATCAATGGATTGCTACGTTATGGCGGGTATTTCAACTCCGTACATTTTTGTATTCTGTCATGAAGGCAACAGTCTAAATTGAGGGGGCGTCTCAAAAGACAATTTGACATATATTTGGCAAAGACATGCGTCTATTTTGAAGTCTTCTGCAAGAATTGAGGCAAATATTTAAACTCGATGTTGCCATAACATTTTGCTTGCTCGCCGTTCGTATTCATATGCTTAACCTCATCTTGATTTTCTTCACGGTTTACTTTCATCCACTGGCATTTTGCCAGTACAAGCTTGCCGAACCACAATCATACTGTACGTTACGCTAGTTTAGACAATAATTTGACAAAAAGTCAGTCTCGAAAAAAATAGTAATTTAGTATAAAATATTCACTTTATAAAAGCTGACATTATAACTAGTAGTAATACTATTATTGTTATTATACTAATATAACAGGAAAGGAAAACCTGGACGAACTCTAGACAGATGCTCTACCAATTGAGCTACCTAGTCGCCGACGATGGACCCAGTCAAGTTCTGCTACATCCCTCCCTAATTTTTCTAAGTCTTTGCACCCGAAGACACAACTATTTACAACCCAGGTTCGGGTATCCCCTTGCCAAGCATACACCAATTGCAAATGCTTGAAACAAGGGTTGGTCACGGGCACCACTGTAAAAGGAAAGAGAAAATGCCCAGCCAAACCAGGGTTCGAACCCAAGACCCTCCGAACTCTAGACAGATGCTCTACCAATTGAGCTACAATGTACCTGGTCGCCGACAATCGACCCAGTCCAGTTCCGCTACACTAATATTAAACATGCATGCAATTTTAAAGACTGAAGCTTTTAGTTCCCTTTCAGTTTGTTTTCATCATTTGTTCCATCATGTTAAATTGAAATTTTGGTTGTCATTCAAATTCACAAACTATTATACAAAATGTAATAGATATGATATCTGACAACAGATGGCCTGTTCTTTGTCACTAAATGTATTTCTCTAGAAACTTGTTCAACTTTTACATGTGCTGTAGAGTCTCTTCTGTAAGATCACAAATGAATATTATCCATTGATTTAGCTACATTTGTAGTAAAGGAGCATTTGGGATTTGCCAACCTTCCAGTCCTTCATTGAAACTTGAAAGTAGAAGAATCCATGCATGTACATGTATAGGTCCTAATGGAAAATTCTATGACCTTGCAGCTCACTTTATTTAAATGACCATGTTGCAGCATCAGTTTACTGGCCATAAGATACAGGTGACTTATAATTAGTGACAGGTGTATCACAGGAATCAAGTTCATTGTGACCAGGATGTAAAAGGATGCTGCATATACCAACCAAGCTTGACGGACCCAACAACCCGGGAAATTGTGTAAAATGTGCTGCAATTTCACAGGCAGTTCTATGTGTTGACATTTCAAGGAATAATTGAGTAAATTGCATTTAGGAGTTGCGCACATTTAGAGTGTTTAATATATATAAAAACATCATACAGACGCAAAAATTGTAGGTGTAAAACATGGCTGGTTGGCCTGGTGTCAGTTAAAGTGAACGGGTGGGTTGTCATGTTGATCTGCGGCATGATACTTTGGTGTGCTGGCAAATTAAAACCCTGCTAGAGTCTGGACCAGTTTCAGCAAATCTGGCAACCACTACATAGCTCTAAACTACTGATAAATGACTTTAAACCCCATCACCCACTCACTCACTCCCCATTGCTGTCAATGTCTGTCATCGGTTGGCACTATTAATCTCCTGTAAAAGTATCTATTTACAAAGGATAATTTGCTGTTCAATCCTGCTCTACTTATTTCTTAAAAAAAAGGAGGGGGGGGGGGAGTTGTTATCTACCTATATCTTCCTACCCTAATTTGTTAGGGCATGTTACCTGAAATACACACTTTTTTTGCCTAGTTGTGTTTGCTATTGTCAGTATTGGCCTTTTTTTTTTTTCTTTCTTTCTTTTTTTTTTTTAGAAAAAACACCATTAATGCTACTACCAGTGTCTTAATCAGTGTTATACAATATCCTTTTTAGAGCCTTTGATCTTGCATGTTTGTGAACAGCTAGCTGTACACTGCCTTTCACATAACTTCATGATCAAATAATTGTGTTAAATGTACATAGTAAACCATTCATGAAATCAATAAAAAATCAACATACAGTTATTAAGATGTTCCAGTAAACACACTCGCACAAACTGTCACATTCATTTGTACATGAAAAGAAGATTGGAGCATTTTTGTATTACTTTGGTAATTACATGTTTTTTTCCTCAGGAGTTTGTGAGAAAGCTGTGGTATTGTTAAATCTTAATCCTAATGGATTCAGTGCTATCAGGGTAATTACAAATCTAATGTGAAAGGAACATTAAGTGTTGGTTTTCTAAACATAAGTGGAACACAGACAGTTATTCAGTATCACACTTATTATAAGGATAATTGACTTTAACCATCTAGAGTAACATTTAAATAATTTGGTATTGGATTGAAAAAGCCTGAAGCCACTTATAAAACAGAAAATGGTTAAAATTCTACTCCAAAAAAACCCATTTTATTAAACTTGCTTATTGCACTTTTTTTCACACAAGGACAAGTAAAATGTTTTCATTGGGTGGATATGTTTATACTTGATGTTTGATAACTGGTTGTCTTTATTTGAACAATATAAAGCAAAATTTGACCCCTTATGCAGTTATGGTGCATTTTTCAGTTGTCATTACTTCAATTTGAATCGAACTATCCGTGATTTAGAAAATGTGATGATTTTTTTTCAGATTTTCTATATAAATACGGCCAGAGTGTCTTCTTTGAGGTGTGAGTTTTGTGTATTTCTTTGGGAAATACTGGGAAATACTAAAGACCTGAATGGAGTGGATCATGTCAGGTTTTAACTAGGGTTGAAGAATTAAAAATATAATGTTTTATTCTGTTTTACATATTACAAACATTGTTATGTTATATGTAATTTAAATGTGCTGAAGCATTGTGTTAAATGCTGTGGAAATATTACTTCACAAAATTAAATTATTTGGGCCACCAATATTTTACTCGCCCCCCAAAAAGATTTTTGGCCAGCCAATGCAGGTCCCCCACTATCCTTTATTGTTCATGTTTACTTTTGAAACTGATCAGTTAAACTGCCGTGGAATTCTTGTGTTTCTGTGTTATAAAATACTAATCACTGGGGAGATAAATAGAACCAATATAGTATGTACATGTATGTCCTTTTTACGTCCTATTAATAACTACGGCCATTAGAGGAGGAAACAGGTTTTTTGATACTGAAGGAAAACCAGAGTACCCAGAGAAAAAAACACTGACCTGACGACTGCCCCACATAATTCTGGTAATGTAAAGCGATGACTAATGAAATGTATTTTTTACTGAAGTTTCATTTAGAATTTTCTGATTTTATTTTCATTGCACAGATGATTTTACCATGAGCAGTCAGAGCAGTGGTGACCAACCTGAGGATTCAGAAAATTTAGCCCGCCCAGCTGTAACCTTATCATCACAAGCCCATGTCCATCAGAGGTCGCTGGGGAACCTCACTCAAGGAACCACCACCTACCAGGTAAACCTACTGGGACAGGTAATATAGTTGTACTACAATCATATGTGTGAACCTTTATAAATACAGTACAACATAACATTCTTTTGTTTTTTAAATAAAAAAGAAATTGAGGAATAATAAATTCAAAGCTAATACACGCAGAGAAGCATGATTGGCACATAAAATAAAAGAAATGTTCTCATGGTGCAGAAATCGTCAAATTCCAATCAGACATTTTGAAATTAAACTTTCATATGTTTTAATTAGTTGTACTTTTCTATATGAAACATGGTAATATTGATATTGTGCCATTAAGTGTTTCAATATACATCTGACGACTTATTGGGTGTTTAAGAACAAATCTAGTAATGCGAAAGATATAAACTGTTTGGGGGAAATGAACACATGTCGTATTGGCTTGTGTGTGAGCGATGTAATGATTACATATGGTTATAAACTAATGAGAAGTTACATAACCTGTGTGGTAGAATATTGCATAATATACTATAATTTTGTAAAGATGTCTTTTGTGATTATAATAATTGGTATGTTTTTTGAGTGGACAAGATGTGTTTCCTTTGATTTTTCAGCATATTGAAAAAATATGAATTTTGTGTTTTAAGGGTGCATTATCAAAGTCAGCAGCATTGAACAGACGTATGTTGACGGGAGGTCCTGGTGCCTCACCGCCCGCTCATCCCTCGCAGTTATCTACCATCATACCAACAGGTATGTCACACCCAACTTAGGTTAAAGGTCAGAGGTCCAACAACCTGTATACGATGGGTGCACAAGTGTAACCTTTATGATTACATCATGTGACAGTTGAGGTAAGATTGTGGTTTGAATTCAGAAGAAGACAAAGAGGAGGTAGCAAAAAACAATCACTTTCTTGTTTAAATATGTCGTTCTATAAACTCCAACAAGTAAGAAATTATAATGTTTACTGAGTAATCACCTTTCAATCAAACAAAGCCACGAGACAGCAGAGCAGACAGTAGTGGGGTTAGTATTCAGTCCTGCCAGTATGATCTTAAAACGATTGCTTTACTCTTAGTTCTAACACAAACAGGTATTCATTTTTCCATGTCTTGTGTAATTTACATGTAATGATCCACTTTTCAGGTATACAGATTGGCATTTCAATGGATGCCAACAAGTCGTTGTCAACAACAGCCTCCCTGGTGGGAGTTCCACCACCAGCGATTGTTAGCGTAGGAATGGCAACGCCAAGCATTGTACAAATCAATGCCACTTCCTCCTCTTCTCTTCTCAGCCAAGCGCTCCCCCTCACTGGCAATATCAGGGGGGCATCTCAGCACCAGAACCCAACCTTCCAAACCCATCTCCCCAGGGGTGAGTGTTTACATGTTCTACAAGGATAATGGAAATGGAAGCTGGGGTAGGGTTGGGGGAAGGGGGGGAATCAGGCCTTAATCAGTTCCTTCCAGAAGTTTCAGGAGAGCCAGGTCTAAGAAAATACTTTTATCACAATAAAAGCAAGTGCCCATTCCCAAGATTTTATCCTTGATAAGATCAATTTGCAGTTTCAATACTAGCCTACTTTGCAACAAAAGGAATAGAATTTTAATTTCATTGATCTGTATTGATTATATTCACATCATAAAACTAATGTACAGATCCATCAATATTGATATGTGTTAATAGGAGCGGCGACTGCAGCCTCTGTGTTGGCCTGTCCTAAGTCTGTTATGACTGCAATGCCAGTACTACGCCATAATGCAGCCACCATACACATCCCAGGCACCGCACCTCATGGTGGTCACACGTTAACAACGCCGCGGAGCCAGCTTATCACCCCAAACATCCGGCCAACTACCCCCCCACAAACTCACTCCCCAGCACCCACAGTCAGTCTGGCAGGGGTTCCCACATCAGAAACACACAGGTATGTGTCCCCAGGAAAGAACAACACAGACAGGCGCCCCAAACAACAGTGTCAGTGTTTAACAAAAAAAAATGGACCTTCACCTGTAAAATGTTGCATTTTGAATATATTTTAACTCATTCTGCAACTTGAAATATTTTGTCTTTTTACACGTTTTCATTGAAACCTCGCTCTCCCCACAAGTTATGAACTTGGTCATATTAGGACTGCATTGGACTGATTGGATGTTGTAGGGTTGGAATATCTGTCCAGGCAACAGGAGCCTCAAGTTCTGCCTCCAGTATACATATCAAGCTTCAGACGCCAGGCACCACTACGGAGCCCCTCACAAAACAGGTCCTGTCTCAGTCAGCCAAGCAGATCCATGTGGCACAGAACCTAAGCTCCGTCCCCAAGGTCCTCATGTCTCAGGCAGCCGTCACACCCCTCGTACAGCATTCTCTCAAGGCTGCAGCACCCAAACAAAACAAAGGTAGGTAACTCTACGCTACACACAAGTTAAATGGTTAAGTAACTCTGCAACACACAAAGCTGACAAGGGTAAGCAGCTCTATATTAGCAGAAGGTTTTGCATTAAATTTCAACTAATGAAAAAACACAGTGATACCACAACTGATGTAGCATACAAAATGTATATGGAACTAAGACTAACTTAGTTAGATTTAGGCCATTACTTGATTTTCAGGCCATTTTTACATGCCTGTCAAGATTTCGACAGTACATATATATTTGTAAAAGGATCTTGGCCTTTCCATCAGTTTGTCCAGCACACTTCAATTTCTACAGAATAACTTTTTTTAATAGAAGTTTCAATTTGGATCAATTTCAAAAGCATGTAAAATATACAAAGACCATTATATAAAGGATAAGTTCTAAGTTGAATATATACATTTGCTCTGCATCCTTCCATTGTAATGCATTGCAAAGGCAAACGTTGTTATGAGACTATAACAACATTTGCTATTGTAACATCATCAATCTCTATTGTGATCGTCATCAATTTCATTGTTATCAACATTTGATTTGCGATTCAAAAACTGTTCGAAATAACTAAATAAAGCATAATTACTCTATCATAATGTAAATATAGATAATGAATATTTTAGCAAATATTGTTATGGTCCTTTAACACGCATTTCTATTGCTGACATAAGTTTGTCATCAGTAACAATGTGTGTTATAGGACCTTAACAACATTTTCATTGCTTAATTAATATTCACAAGTCAATATTTATACTACACAAAGTGTACAAGAAAATAAATTTACAAATTTCATGATAATTTGCATTTCAAAACCATTCAATGATATATAAATTTAATAAATTAATTATTTTTCAGCTGCTGTAGCGGCAGGTGTGGCACTATCTTTATCTTCGACAGGAATCTCTCCTTTATCTATCTCCTCTGTAACCCCGTCAACGGCACCATCCGCTGTCCCCTCTATCCCTATAGGTAATGTTTTCCCTGTTACAAGCTGTTTTTTATTTGGCATTGTTATGTCTCACACTGAGGTGAGAGGGTGGACATATGATATTGCCATTGGCTGTCTATTGCACAGGGTAGTGATGTCATCTCTAGGGTCACTGTTTGTGGTCAGATTTGCATGGAATTTTATACAGAGGTTAGGTTCATGTGTCAAGAGATGCTGAGTGAATTCAAAGTTCAGCATTAAGGCACCTAATGTTAAAGTTACCATTGAAATAAAATAAAAAATCTTTGCACAATGACATCATCACTGTCTTACCAGTTTAAATTTCCATGAAATTTGATACAGAAGTTCAGTGTTAAGGCAACCTGAAGGAGTTTTGAAGGTAACATGGGTCTGATGTGTCAAAATCTCTCTAAAAAAATCTACTAAACTATAAGGGTTGGAGTGATTACAGTTGGATGAAGATTAATGGGGACTTGATTTTTTTTTGTTCGTTTGTTCAAATAAATGGCCTTGAAATACTCTCAAGGTTGCTTGTTTCAAACATGTTTTTAAAAGTAAAGCTGACTTCTACAGATGCTTGACGCTTATTTCATATTTCATTGATGATGAAATCCTATGAACAGATTTTTGAGAAATCAAAAAACTCAGTTATGATAAATGCCTGTTTGTGTATGTTTACAGCTATGATAAATCAATGTCTTGTGTGTGTTTGTACTTTACAGCGAAAGTACCCCCAGTGCGACAGCCAACCGCGCCAGCCAGCTTAGCAGGAATCACGCGCATGTCTTTACCACTAGACCAAAGCAGTTCCACACCAAGCCAGCCCCACACCAAACAGACACACAGTTTGCCCCAGGGACAACCTCACACTACACAGACACATCCTGTTCTCCAGGGACAGACCCACCCTCCTCATACACATCCCCAATCCCAGGGACAGACAACCAGTTTTGTCCCCCAGCCACACCGGCCAGCCAATATCGCCACAAGTCATCTGCTCAACCCTGTGACACACACAGAAATTCGGCCAGAAAGGTAAGTCACAGCAGAATATGATGTAAGGAAACCTAAATTCACAATAATTCATACTTTCATGAAGTTCAAAACTTCAAATAAGTTCTCTGGAAAATAAAAACAAAATGTCTGAACAATGAGTTTTTTGCATATTTCCGCTGTTTATATCCTTCTATACGTGCATGTAGACCCCCACTCCCCCCACAATTTGAGAAGCAAGACACCATTAGATATTGCTGTTGCTCTAAGTAATGAATTATCTATGTATTTATTTCTTTAGCATATGAGCGACAATTGATCAGTCATTATTGATAGTTTAGGCAGACAACAAGCTCCTCCTATATTTCATAAAGAATTGCTGCCACAAAAAACTTTTTGTTTATATAACCAGATAATAATTGTTTCCAAAATCAGAACAACAGCAGGCAAAAAGATCAGCAGGATTTTAATGACTCCGATCAAGAGAAACTTTAGTCCCGAGTACTTGTATGGAGGCCAAATCGTAAAATTTAAGTCTTGAAAATCAGTTGATACTACTATCCTGTTTGAGTGCCATAGCTATATTTGGTTCCTGTTTGAGTGCCATAGCTATATTTGGTTTCTGTTTGAGTGTAAGAGCTATATTTGGTTCCTGTTTGAGTGCCATAGCTATATTTGGTTGCTGTTTGAGTGCCATAGCTATATTTGGTTTCTGTTTGAGTGTCATAGCTATATTTGGTTCCTGTTTGAGTGCCATAGCTATATTTGGTTCCTGTTTGAGTGCCATAGCTATATTTGGTTCCTGTTTGAGTGCCATAGCTATATTTGGTTCCTGTTTGAGTGCCATAGCTATATTTGGTTCCTGTTTGAGTGCCATAGCTATATTTGGTTCCTGTTTGAGTGCCATAGCTATATTTGGTTCCTGTTTGAGTGCCATAGCTATATTTGGTTCCTGTTTGAGTGCCATAGCTATATTTGGTTCCTGTTTGAGTGCCATAGCTATATTTGGTTCCTGTTTGAGTGCCATAGCTATATTTGGTTCCTGTTTGAGTGCCATAGCTATATTTGGTTCCTGTTTGAGTGCCATAGCTATATTTGGTTCCTGTTTGAGTGCCATAGCTATATTTGGTTCCTGTTTGAGTGCCATAGCTATATTTGGTTCCTGTTTGAGTGCCATAGCTATATTTGGTTCCTGTTTGAGTGCCATAGCTATATTTGGTTCCTGTTTGAGTGCCATAGCTATATTTGGTTCCTGTTTGAGTGCCATAGCTATATTTGGTTCCTGTTTGAGTGCCATAGCTATATTTGGTTCCTGTTTGAGTGCCATAGCTATATTTGGTTCCTGTTTGAGTGCCATAGCTATATTTGGTTCCTGTTTGAGTGCCATAGCTATATTTGGTTCCTGTTTGAGTGCCATAGCTATATTTGGTTCCTGTTTGAGTGCCATAGCTATATTTGGTTCCTGTTTGAGTGCCATAGCTATATTTGGTTCCTGTTTGAGTGCCATAGCTATATTTGGTTCCTGTTTGAGTGCCATAGCTATATTTGGTTCCTGTTTGAGTGCCATAGCTATATTTGGTTCCTGTTTGAGTGCCATAGCTATATTTGGTTCCTGTTTGAGTGCCATAGCTATATTTGGTTCCTGTTTGAGTGCCATAGCTATATTTGGTTCCTGTTTGAGTGCCATAGCTATATTTGGTTCCTGTTTGAGTGCCATAGCTATATTTGGTTCCTGTTTGAGTGCCATAGCTATATTTGGTTCCTGTTTGAGTGCCATAGCTATATTTGGTTCCTGTTTGAGTGCCATAGCTATATTTGGTTCCTGTTTGAGTGCCATAGCTATATTTGGTTCCTGTTTGAGTGCCATAGCTATATTTGGTTCCTGTTTGAGTGCCATAGCTATATTTGGTTCCTGTTTGAGTGCCATAGCTATATTTGGTTCCTGTTTGAGTGCCATAGCTATATTTGGTTCCTGTTTGAGTGCCATAGCTATATTTGGTTCCTGTTTGAGTGCCATAGCTATATTTGGTTCCTGTTTGAGTGCCATAGCTATATTTGGTTCCTGTTTGAGTGCCATAGCTATATTTGGTTTCTGTTTGAGTGCCATAGCTATATTTGGTTTCTGTTTGAGTGCCATAGCTATATTTGATTGCTGTTTCAGACCTGTTGGGATCTCTACGTTGCCCCAGTACCCAATGGCTTTGCTGACCGAGTACCAACAGCTTATGTATCAACAGCTGGCCTCTCAGATACGGCCCAACCAAGCGGGACTGGGTAAGTATGCTTACGGCCAGGTACAGTGAGGTCATATAGATACAGTTTAGCTCCAGTGGTGATACTGCGTGAATAGGTATGTTTATAGTAATTGATTATCAGTAACATGTTACTTGAGTACAATTGATGGTTGATAGAGGTTGTGATTGGTTGTGTTTGAGCAAGTATTAACTGACATTGATCTGTACATACTTCCTTTTACAAAACGTCAATCAGTAAAATACTATCATTCATCTGCTAGGTGATATTATTTGATGATGCATCATCAGCTGTTTAATGTTCCTTAGGGTGAGTCATCACAAAATGTGTTGTCATATGTTCTGTATACCGTCACTTATCACGCTTTGATGGACAGGACCGTCACTTATCACGCTGTGATGGACAGGACCGTCACTTATCATGCCGTGAATAATTGTGAGGTCATATTAGATACCGCTGAATGTTGTCATGTTGGGTTTTGAAAATAATTTTCATGCTGGTAACGGTGTTGAATGATAAAATTAATCTATAATTAAGACAATGTGAAAATGTGAAGATATTGACTTGTTTCACAAATAAATGATCAGATAAAACTTAGTTGAGATCTAATGCCATATATATATATGTAGATATAATGTAAATTCTAATTCTATGGAAAGCAAACATTAATTTTGAAAAGGATAATTTCTTTCTATGAATTCTACCTGCAAATAGAAAATATTTCAGAAATGACCTCTGTATCCGTTTACCACCTTTGTGTGAGAGAGAATCCCCATGACCTTCCCCCACTTCCTCTGTTCTCTGCTTATTGCCGGTAGAGTAAACGTTCTAAACATTAGGTGTTTGATTATTTTAGCGGTGCCTGCAGCTGCTGGACCTCATGCACTGTCTGTCTCCTCTGCTCAGACAGTCAAGTTCAGCCCGATGACTTTAATGGCGGGTGACCCTCTACGATTACAGACGCTGTCAGTACACACACCCTTCTCTAGTGCTTCAGTCTCTACAGTGTCAGACAGTAAGTACCTAAACAAACTACAGACATTGTCGGTACACACACCCTTCTCTAGTGCTTCAGTCTCTACAGTGTCAGACAGTAAGTACCTAAACAAACTACAGACATTGTCGGTACACACACCCTTCTCTAGTGCTTCAGTCTCTACAGTGTCAGACAGTAAGTACCTAAACAAACTACAGACATTGTCGGTACACACACCCTTCTCTAGTGCTTCAGTCTCTACAGTGTCAGACAGTAAGTACCTAAACAAACTACAGACATTGTCGGTACACACACCCTTCTCTAGTGCTTCAGTCTCTACAGTGTCAGACAGTAAGTACCTAAACAAACTACAGACATTGTCGGTACACACACCCTTCTCTAGTGCTTCAGTCTCTACAGTGTCAGACAGTAAGTACCTAAACAAACTACAGACATTGTCGGTACACACACCCTTCTCTAGTGCTTCAGTCTCTACAGTGTCAGACAGTAAGTACCTAAACAAACTACAGACATTGTCGGTACACACACCCTTCTCTAGTGCTTCAGTCTCTACAGTGTCAGACAGTAAGTACCTAAACAAACTACAGACATTGTCGGTACACACACCCTTCTCTAGTGCTTCAGTCTCTACAGTGTCAGACAGTAAGTACCTAAACAAACTACAGACATTGTCGGTACACACACCCTTCTCTAGTGCTTCAGTCTCTACAGTGTCAGACAGTAAGTACCTAAACAAACTACAGACATTGTCGGTACACACACCCTTCTCTAGTGCTTCAGTCTCTACAGTGTCAGACAGTAAGTACCTAAACAAACTACAGACATTGTCGGTACACACACCCTTCTCTAGTGCTTCAGTCTCTACAGTGTCAGACAGTAAGTACCTAAACAAACTACAGACATTGTCGGTACACACACCCTTCTCTAGTGCTTCAGTCTCAACAGTGTCAGACAGTAAGTACCTAAACAAACTACAGACACTGTCAGTTAACACATCTTTCTCTAGTGATATCAGTCTGCAACAGTTGAGTACCTAAACCAACTAGATATTGTGAAATGCTTTCTTTGTCCTTTTTTCAAATCAAACTTTTTATGATAACAACGAATTTAACACTGAAAGTAGATATATATTTATTTGTTTTCATCAGAAATATAATTTGCAATCTGATATAGGTTAGAAGACAATAAGAATCAGGAATAATCGTGGAAGGAGCCATGGAGCCATAGACACCTCAAAACTGGAAATTGCTCATTCTATTAATTGTAGAGAATAGCCTATGAAGTTTTATTCACCAAACTTTGCTGAAAATGTTCTATTGCTCTCAGCTTCTTGGATTTTCTTTGATAAATGAAATGTTATTTATTGGTGCCTGATTACATTGATGTATTTAAGACCCTAAAACATTCTATAATTATAGGTGGTGCAAGGTCTTCAACTCCGAATGATTCAATAAGTGGAATTTCCTGTGCCGTGTCCACTGCTTCCATTCCTGTCCCAGCCCTCTCTGCCATCGCCATGGCAACCTCGTCAGCACTTTCTATAGCTCCAACACTGTACTCTATGACCTCAGGGGCACCTCACCCAGGCTCCCTGACCCCACAGCACCCATCATCACAGGGAGGATTATCGAGCACACCGGTCAGTCAGCCGAATGCCTCACCACGCCCCAGCATACTCAGAAAGCGTACCAATGAAGGGTAGGTACCACACGAAGAGAATATTCCATCTTTGCGTATTGCAGAGTTATCTTCTCTTGAGAGCAGGTATTGATTGTTACTTCATTTGTTTGTGAGAGTAACGTCATCAATTTTTGAGAAAACAAAGTAATTTTCTCACACGAACCAATGACGTAACAATCAATACCTGCTCTCAAGAGAAGATAACTCTGCAATATGCAAAGACGGAATAGAACAGTGAACTTCTATGTACTTGTAAATGTACAAGAGTTGGCTAAAACAAAAATAGCAGAAACAGGGGAGATGACATGCTTTACACAGATAACTTGATGCTATGATTGAACAAATAAGAAAATCTTTTTTACCTGTTAAAATTTAATAAACTGAAGTAGGTAGGTTTGGCAAGGTGTGTTATTTAACCCTTTCACCACTGTAGACCATAATGGACTCATCCAGATCAATGCATGGTAGAGTCTACTAAAGTTACATAGGTGTGAAAGGGTTAAAGGATTTTATACACTATTTTATAACCCTCAATATCAATTTGTTTATCAGAAATACTCCTGTGAAGAAGCCTGTGTGTGGTCTCAACACGATGACGGACAGACACAGTCCGCGGCCAGACTCGAGAACAGACTCTGCCCCCCAGTCTAACACCAGTTCTCCAAAGACACCTGCCACACCTGCTGGGTAAGTCTACAACATGTGGACCTGATAAACTTTAAACACCTATCACAATATAATAATCATCTCTTTCATACTGATTTTCTATCTATGTACTCTTCTTTTTCCCCCATAGACAATCCTAGTTAGCCTGTTTTCAGAATACTGTACTGTTGTTGAATTTCACAGGGTTTATATTATGCAGTTGTCTCGAACTAATTTCCACAACATTGCCTGGTAAAAATGTTGCTTCATGAGTGTGCTTTTGTATTTGGGTTATTGGATTTATTTTACAAGTATTTTAACTAGTTAATCTACAAAATAACATAAAATATGATGCTGGATTGCTGTTCGATCATCCTATTCGGCAGTGAAAGTGTAGACCGGTCTTTGCTTTTATCTCGGTATATTTATAGTATTAACATTAACTGGGTATTTAATTTCCTGCTAACATTAGTGATCACGAATATAACAAAGTTTCTTCCCTTGCAAAATTTGCATCTATACAGAGATGTTATCAGGTAAAGTTTCATGCTACCATGTCCATGTCATACTTCATTAAGACGGCATTTACAGTGGCCCCTGATTGGCCCGGTCATACTTCATTAAGATGCCATTAACAGTGGCCTCTGATTGGCCCGGTCATACTTCATTAAGACGGCATTTACAGTGGCCCCTGATTGGCCCGATCATACTGAATTAAGATGGCATTTATAGTGGCCCCTGATTGGCCCGGTCATACTTCATTAAGATGGCATTTACAGTGGCCTCTGATTGGCCCGGTCATACTTCATTAAGACGGCATTTACAGTGGCCCCTGATTGGCCCGATCATACTTAATTAAGATGGCATTTATAGTGGCCCCTGATTGGCCCGGTCATACTTCATTAAGATGCCATTTACAGTGGCCCCTGATAGGCCCGATCATACTTAATTAAGATGCCATTTACAGTGGCCCCTGATTGGCCCGGTCATACTTCATTAAGATGCCATTAACAGTGGCCTCTGATTGGCCCGGTCATACTTCATTAAGACGGCATTTACAGTGGTCCCTGATTGGCCCGATCATACTTCATTAAGATGGCATTTACAGTGGCCCCTGATTGGCCCAATCATACTTAATTAAGATGGCATTAACAGTGGCCCCTGATTGGCCCGATCATACTTAATTAAGATGGCATTTACAGTGGCCCCTGATTGGCCCGGTCATACTTCATTAAGATGGCATTTACAGTGGCCCCTGATTGGGGTGGTCATACTTCATTAAGATGGCATTTACAGTGGCCCCTGATTGGACCGGTCATCTGTTAACACTGTCCTCCCTTGCCCTAATCAGGGGTTTACAATTTATATAGTAGAGGTCTAGCCCAGTCAGATTATAAAAATCTTTCTGTAGCCCAACCCATATTTTAATACTAAAAATTTAACATTTTCACTACCTTGACATAAACTTGCTAGTTCTGTGTTAAGTTAACTGTGATATTTTGATACATAATAGATAGCCTAAAAATTTCCTCTATCACATAACATTGACCCATTTTCTTTATTACACCGTTCAGACTAAAGTTAGATTGTAATATCATCAAAGAAACAACTTGGTGTGGTCATATTTAAAAAAAAAACATATCTCTCTGGTAAGGCAGTAGACATGGACATAGGATAAAGACTTTTTTCTTTTTTGATAAGTTGTGGATATGTTTACAATTTAGCTCTCTAAATCTCACTGAAAATAAAAATTGTTTACTCGTTTCATGGATATTTCAAATGGACTATGTAAGATAGTGTTTATTGTTAATATTCTTTTATTTGATTGGCAGTGAGAGTCAGTCATCCACAGACACGGCTCTGTCAAGTGAGGCCACTACCCCAACTCACAACTCGCTAGGCGACATGAAAATAAAGCAGGAACCACTAGATGCTGTGGAAAATGGTGAGTGAGACTGGTCAGTTAATAAGTAAACATGTTATAGTAATGACACTGAGACTGGTCAGTTAATAAAAGTAACGACCCTGAGACTGGTCAGTTAATAATAGTAATGACTCTGAGACTGGTCAGTTAATAATAGTAATGACCCTGAGACTGGTCAGTTAATAATAGTAACTATACTGAGACTGGTCAGTTAATAATAGTAATGACCCTGAGACTGGTCAGTTAATAATAGTAATGACCCTGAGACTGGTCAGTTAATAATAGTAATGACCCTGAGACTGGTCAGTTAATAATAGTAATGACACTGAGATGCTGTGGAAAATGGTGAGTGAGAATGGTCAGTTAATAAGTAAACATGTTATAGTAATGACACTGAGCCTGGTCAGTTAATAAAAGTAACGACACTGAGACTGGCCAGTTAATAATAGTAACGACACTGAGACTGGACAGTTAATAATAGTAACGACACTGTGACTGGTCAGTTAATAAAAGTAACAACACTGAGACTGGTCAGTAAATAATAGTAATGACTCTGAGACTGGTCAGTTAATAATAGTAATGACCCTGAGACTGGTCAGTTAATAATAGTAATGACCCTGAGACTGGTCAGTTAATAATAGTAACTATACTGAGACTGGTCAGTTAATAAATGTAACGAAACTGAGACTGGTCAGTTAATAAGAGTAATGACTCTGAGACTGGTCAGTTAATAATAGTAATACCTCAGAGACTGGTCAGTTAATATGTAAACACGTTATAGTAACAACACTTGTTTGTATAAGGATTGACTAATGCACACTAAGATTTCACATTCATTATTGAGGTGTATAGAAATTGCATCGACTATTATAGAAGAAATCGGGCAGTTGAGAAAAATTTGTTAGCTCAACTTTCTCTTTTGTGAGCTTATTTAATAAAAGATCATTGTTTGTACATCTTAGCGCCATACATTAGAATATATCTATACGTGTAACATTGGCTTTTATATTCATTAGAATATATCTATACGTGTAACATTGGCTTTTATATTCATTAGAATATATCTATATATGTAACATTGGCTGTTATATTCATTAGAATATATCTATACGTGTAACATTGGCTGTGATATTCATTAGAATATATCTATATGCGTAACATTGGCTGTTATATTCATTAGAATAGTAACGACACTGAGACTGGTCACTTAATAATAGTAATGACACTGAGATGCTGTGGAAAATGGTGAGTGAGACTGGTCAGTTAATATGTAAACACGTTATAGTAACAACACTTGTTTGTATAAGGATTGACTAATGCACACTAAGATTTCACATTCATTATTGAGGCGTATAGAAATTGCATCGACTATTATAGAAGAAATCGGGCAGTTGAGAAAAATTTGTTAGCTCAACTTTCTCTTTTGTGAGCTTATTTAATAAAAGATCATTGTTTGTACATCTTAGCGCCATACATTAGAATATATCTATACGTGTAACATTGGCTTTTATATTCATTAGAATATATCTATACGAGTAACATTGGCTGTTATATTCATTAGAATATATCTGTACGTGTAACATTGGATGTTATATTCATTAGAATATATCTGTACGTGTAACATTGGATGTTATATTCATTAGAATATATCTGTACGTGTAACATTGGATGTTATATTCATTAGAATATATCTGTACGTGTAACATTGGATGTTATATTCATTAGAATATATCTGTACGTGTAACATTGGATGTTATATTCATTAGAATATATCTATACGTGTAACATTGGCTGTGATATTCATTAGAATATATCTATACGTGTAACATTGGCTGTGATATTCATTAGAATATATCTATACGTGTAACATTGGCTGTGATATTCATTAGAATATATCTATATGCGTAACATTGGCTGTTATATTCATTAGAATATATCTGTACGTGTAACATTGGATGTTATATTCATTAGAATATATCTATACGTGTAACATTGGCTGTGATATTCATTAGAATATATCTATACGTGTAACATTGGCTGTGATATTCATTAGAATATATCTATATATGTAACATTGGCTGTTATATTCATTAGAATATATCTGTACGTGTAAAGTTAATAATAGTAACGACACTGTGACTGGTCAGTTAATAAAAGTAATGCCACTGAGACTGGTCAGTTAATAAAAGAAACGACACTGAGACTGGTCAGTTGATAAAAGTAACGACACTGAGACTGGTCGGTTAATAATAGTAACGACACTGAGTCTGGTCAGTTAATAATAGTAACGCCACTGAGACTGGTCAGTTAATAAAATTAACGACACTGAGACTGGTCAGTTGATAAAAGTAACGAAACTGAGACTGGGCACTTAATAATAGTAACAACACTGAGACTGGTCAGTTAATAATAGTAATGACTCTGAGACTGGTCAGTTAATATGTAAACATGTTATAGTAACAACACTTGTTTGTATAAGGATTGACTAATGCACACTAAGATTTCACATTCATTATTGAGGTGTATAGAAATTGCATCGACTATTATAGAAGAAATCGGGAAGTTGAGAAAAATTTGTTAGCTCAACTTTCTCTTTTGTGAGCTTATTTAATAAAAGAGCATTGTTTGTACATCTTAGCGCCATACATTAGAATATATCTATACGTGTAACATTGGCTGTTATATTCATTAGAATATATCTATATGTGTAACATTGGCTGTTATATTCATTATGAGAGAAGAGAACATCTTGTGTGTAAGGTGAAAGTTTGAGCCTGTTGTTTTACCGAAGTTATCTCCCTTGTCTCTAAAATGCTGTGAGATGATTTGACCTTGTTTGAACCTCTGTGTGCCGTGGTTGTCTCCTGCTGTTCTTGTATGGGACCTCACAATGAATGGTCTGATATGCAGTGCCTATGTGGCATAAAAACATGTGTGAATGATAAATGAAATGTGAATATCTGATCGAGAAATAAAATTAAGTACTAAGCACTTGCTGGAGAGACACCCATTGATCATATAATCTGTGTTGGTGTAGTTTGTGTGGCGTTATTTATAAGTTTACATGCCAGTGTTTATGTTTAGGGTTCCTCACAACTGGGGTAATTACTCTCTCCTCCACTTTATCTCACTGAATTAACAGTTTTGATTGTTACATTTATTTCTAGGGTTTCCAACAGCTGTAGCAATAGCTGCCTCCCTGTCTGCCTCACTACCCAACTCCGTGGAAGCATCTCCTAGAAAGAAACCCAGAAAACAGTTACTGTAAGTAAACAGACTCTCAAAGCTCTTTAGTGCAAAATAACTTTATTTTCTGTTACATATTTTTAGCAAACAGTGTAATTTGGTATTTATACAGAGAGAAAATGGATATAAGCACAGATTATATTAAAATGTAGTATACTACTCTTAAAAGTTATCAAAAGGATTAGCATCATTTCATATGAATGGTTAACACATCAGGTGGTTTTTTTTATATCAATATTAATTAATAACACTTTTCATTGATGGATAGAGCTTTTATAAGTACAAACTTGTATGGTACATGGATTGAGTTTACTGATTCAAATTTTTCAGTCTATAGTGTTGCTTGTAAAGAAACATTTATAGTTGTGTTAAACTTAGAGAATTGGCACTGTACACCATATATTACACATTTAAGATAGAAGACTTTTAAAAGGTATTATAAAAATAATCTAAACCTAATGCATTTTAACATCAGTCCTCTCCAAAAACATTTGATCTCGCAAGTTTGATTTGATGTCAATTATTAACAAGAGTAATAGTTCTACTGTTGTTTGCAGACATGCCAACGAAGAGCTACGTGATAACTCCTCAACAGACGAAGATGTGGAGAAGGTGGAGGAAATCAAAGAAGAAGTGCCGGACCCAGTGAAGAATGAGATGAAGGATGGTACGAGCTCTTAACCCTAGCTTAATGTAGATTGATGGCCTCAGACTTTGAAGGATAATATATTATTAGCTCACCTGGTCCGAAGGACCAAAGTGAGCTTATGCCATACCGTGGCGTCCGTCAACAATTTCTTTAAACGACTTCTTCCTCTTAACCACTGGTTGGAATTAAAGTAAATTTGACTGGAAGCATCCCTAGGTGGTGGGGATTCAAAATTGTACAAATGGTGGGGTTGACCCCCCAGGGGGATGAGGGGCGGGGCCAAAAGGGGTCAATTTGGCCATATTGCTTTAAGCGACTTCTTCTCTGGAACTAAGAAGTGGATATCAACCATATTTCACTGGAAGCATCCCTAGGTGGTGGTGATTAAAAATTGTACAAATGGTTGGGCTGACTCCCCAGGGGGCTTAATGGCGGGGCCAAAAGGGGGCAATTTGACTATATTGCTACAAACGACTTCTTCTGTAGAACTGTGGACTGGATATCAATCATATTTGATCAAAAGCATTCCTGGGAGGCAGGGATTTAAAATTGTACCAATGGTGTGGCTGACCCCCCAGGGAGCTGAGGGGCAGGGCCAAAAATGGTATTTGGCTATACTGCTTTAAGCGACTTCTTTTCTGGAACTAAGAAGTGGATATCAACCATATTTGACTGGAAGCATCCCTAGGTGGTGGAGATTCAAAATTGTACAAGTGGTTGGGCTGACCCCCCAGGGGGCTGAGGGGCGGGGCCAAAAGGGGGCAATTTGGTTATATTGCTATAAACGACTTCTTCTGCAGAACTATGCCATTTATATTGATCATATTTGGTCGGAAGTATTCATGGGAGGTAGGGATTCAAAATTGTACAAATGGTGGGGCTGACCCCCCGGGCTAAGGGGTGGGGCCAATAAAATGTATTACTTGGAAATGGTTGAGATCCCCACCATATAACCATATATACAATTGCTGAGTATAAAGAGAAGAATGCACATTTGCTTCCAGGATGTCCGTAGGGTCTGGCCCCACCCTTGGAGACATAGTCCCTGGGCCATAACTTGAAAACGGTTGAGATCCCCACCCCAAAACTATATATACAAATGCTGGGCATAAAGAGACGAATGCAATCATGATATCAGAATAGACCCTGGGGTCTGACCGAACCCCTAGGGACCTAGTTTCTTAGTCACAGCTTGGAAACAGTTGAGAGCCCCACCCTATAACCGTATATATACAATTGCTGAGTATAAAGAGATGATTGTACATATGCTTCAAGGTTGGCCTTGGGGACTGCCCCACCCTTGGAGACTTAACCCCTGGGTCATAACTTTGAAATGGTTAATATCCCCACCCCAAAACTATATACACAAATGCTGGGCAAAAAGAGACAAATGCAGTCACGATATTAGAATTGATCCTGGGGTCTGGCCAAAACTCTAGGGACCTAGTTACTGAGTCAAAGCTTGGAAACAGTTGAGATCCCCACCCCATAACCATACATAAAATTGCTGGGCATGAAAAATCTAATATTTTAGCTATGCTACAAGGATTGGCCTTGGTGTCTGTCATATTCCCTTGATCTCATTTGGAGAATATTTTGCCATGATTGCTTAGGTATCCAGGTGAGCGATACAGGCCCTCTGGGCCTCTTGTTCAATTATAGCCTTTGGCAGAGGTCGATACCTGGATTTATTGACTCGAGAAAAGATATATTAACCGAGGACACAGTTCAAGGTCAATATTTCTTTTCTCGGGTCGATAAATCCAGGTATTGACCGAAGTTAAAGGCTATAAAACAGTAATGTAAGCAATCTGAAAAAACACAACAAAATAGCTTCGGAAGTGGGACGGTGCATTGTTTGGAGACACATCATTATTCTATTTTTAGAAACACCCAGTCCTTCAACAAAAATCACACGCTCCAAGCCAATATCGCTGGACAAGTGATGCACTCCTGGCCAATCACTTGTCGGGAATAATATGAAAATATAATAATTAGCTATATTGAATCTTTATGGACAGTTTATATTGCAAACCATTCCTTTGTATGATGCCGAAGCCTTGGTCAAGTTTGAAGATTGCTGGAATCAGTGTACGCTTCATCAATTTTGCTTACTTATTTTGTTGTTGATAATAATGTTCTGTTTGTGTACGAGTTATCACGGAAACTGTTGTTTGTGCATATTGTCAGTATCCAGACCAAGTTAGAAGACTGGAGGAATCTGTGTACCTCTATATTTTCTGATCTGATTGCTGTAGCTTTCCTGTCATAGTAGTTGAATATTTCTATGAGCACAGAACAGTGAATAGGAACTTTAATTCCTCGGTAACCGTTGATATAGAAGAACTGGTAGATATTTACCTACAGACGAATCTGCTCAAGCGACCATCTGTATGAAATGACCATCTGTTTTATGCGAATACTTTTCATTCCTCCTGACCGTTTTTACTATGTAATTTAACTGTATTAAGTGACCATCTGTCTAACGTGACCACCCAATACTGACCCCAAAATTAGGTTAAACGACCACATTTGATACATTTTACCGACCATGATTGACGAAAATATACCAAACGGTCGTTGAAATAGTTGTGAATCTCCAAATTTGCGACCGTCACCACATTTGACGAAGGGCTAATTCACAATCTTTTTACCAAGTTCAATGAACAAATTTGAAAAAAATTATTTCCAAACTTATAATGAATTCATTGATGAACAGAAACAAATAAGAAGTATTTTTTCTAACTGCCGATATTGATGATATAGCAGTTAAAATACGGCCCGATATTTATCGCAGCTGTGCAAAACCATTTTGATTGTGCGAGTGTCCAGCTAGGCAATGTAACCTTTAACCCTCCATCTGATTGGATGAATTACACTGGCGGGTTTTCATTCTTGAAACCGGGTCTGTTGAGAGATGTTCACGACAGCACTCTCTTGTGAAATTATCATTAAATAATAAATATCAGCGCAACTGCACAGTAAATATGTTTATGTTAGCATACATATCGTTTCTAATTCCTCATCAATATTAAACGCCTTTAATAACATCCCTGAACTTTTCAACGCCAAAGAACTAACGACAACAATACCAGTCCGTTTTACGGCAACATGCTGTCGGCTTTATTTAGGTCATTTTCTTAACTGGATTCTCTTTCTAGTTTCCATCGTAAAATAAAGGAATAATACACGTAAACCCATCTGTTGGACCAACACAGGAACAGCTATCATTTCAACAACAATGTATTTCGTAACAAGTTAGTTTTAATCATGGTAATTACCGAAAACACAGTTGTGTAAGTTGGGAACTTACACAAGTCTCCGTGGTCCAGTCTCCGTCGATCGTTTGTTCTGAGTGAAATGACATTTTTTTTCAAACACTCTTAGTTTTTTGTTTCCTGTCCAAATTATTACTCGACTATTGTTTAGTTTACCACCTGATTTGTGAATGATGTTGTTTTAAACTAACTGTACGTGTGCTTGGGGCGGTGGTCTGTTTACAGTTGTCTGAATAAGGAGTCGCTTGGTTATATAGTCGGTTACAGTGTGTACAAAATATGGTCAAATTTTATTAAACAACCACTTTTATTAAACGCCAGGTTTTTAGCTCACCTGGCAAGAAGTGCCAAGTGAGCTTATGCCATGGTGCGGCGTCCGTTGTCCGTCCGTCCGTCCGGCGTCCGGCGTCAATATTTTACTTTAAACAACTTCTTCTTAATAACCGATAGGCCTAGGGTGATGATATTTGGCCAGAAGCAAACTGGGATGAAGGGCTACCAAGTTTGTTCAAATAAATGACTTTCATTTATTTTCAAGGTCACAGGGGTCAAATATGTTAAAAACTTTAAACAACTTCTTCTCAATAACCAAACTGCCCAGGGAGATGATATCTGGTCAGTAGCATGCTAGGGTGAAGAGCTACCAAGTTTGTTCAAATGAATGACCTTCAATTATANTGAATAACCAAAATGCCCTGGGTGATGATATTTAGTCAGTAGCATACTAGGATCAAGGGCTACCAAGTTTGTTTAAATGTATGACCTTGAATCATATTCAAGGTCACAAGGAGCAAATATGTTTAAAATATTTCAACAACTTGTTCTGAATAACCAAAAGGCTCAGGATGTTGATATTTAGTTAGTAGCATATGCTGGGATCAAGGACTACTATGTTTGTCAAAGTGAATTACTTATATTCAAGGTCACAGGGGTCCAATTTGTTTAAAATCTTTAAACAACCTCTTATGAGTAACCAACGGTCCCAGGATGTTTATACTTTGCAAGTTTCATCCTGAGATGAAAGGCTATACAATGTGTTCAACATAATGACTTTGTTCGACTTTCAATCACAGAGGTGAAATGTTTAAAAAAAAAAATAACAGGGTCTTTTGAACAAATTTTAATCATAAATACTGATATTTTGCATGTAGCTTTATTTTAGATCACTTTTAAGGTTACAAGTGTGAGATTTATACCAGGTGAGCGATGCAGACCCATTGGGCCTCTTGTTTAATTTCCCTTGGGTGGTTGCTTAATACAGATTACACTCTATAACTAAGGCTTGGATATTTGTTACCAATATATTTTACAAGACTTCAGTTTTTAATTATAATCTAATTGTATGTATTACTATAACTTTGATTGTGGTTATATTTCACAAGCCTATTGTATGTTTCAGAATATGTTGATGATGAAGGCGTTCGATGGACCATTGAAAAAACCAAACCATCTTTATCTCTACTTAACTTTTATAATATTTCATGGAAATCAAAAAATAACCATTTCAATCGATACACAGATGTTAAACCCAAAGGTAGGTTGATTAAGGCCAATTTATTTTATTGATTCAGTGATTGTTGGAACACAAACATTTGAGTCCAGAGCTTTTCCTGTTAGATTTGCCCACATTTTGAGAATTCATGGTATATCTCTTGAACCCATATTTTTGATACGATGTCCAGGATCAGCCTAATTTTTTTTTTACAAAGATCACTATTGATTGTTATTTCATTTTATAAACTCTGCAACTTTAGACTAATGGGCTGAGATTTTTAAAACTACATCTTCCAAATTTAAAGTTCTACCAGCCCCTCGGTACTTGTCAAATATTTCGCAGTAATACATTCGTTGTTGCTAAAAATCTGAAATGATCAATCACTGTGTCTAATGATAACAGTCCTTAGCAATGTTCTGTCATGTTCAATTGGCCTAAATATAGTCAGAAAAATATTCTTTTCAATTGGGGCCAAATATATCAATTAAATATGCTTGTGTACTTGATCAGATGAGCGGCGGCCAACAGTGAACGAGCTGTCGAATCAGCGAGGAGTGATGCAGAAGGCCAGTGGCTGGAAGTTGTTCCATGTGGCAGCCCAGCTGGATGATCTTGTGAGTAATGTCTTGAAAGTGTTTTAGTTACTGCTTCTATGTCATTTACACCTACATTAACATATTTACAAATACTTGTACATTATTTACACCTACATTAACATATTTACAAATACTTGTACATTATTTACACCTACATTAACATATTTACAATTACTTGTACATTATTTACACCTACATTAACATATTAACAAATACTTGTACATTATTTACAATTACGTAAACATATTTTCAATTACTTTCACGTTATTTACACCTACGAAAACATATTTACAAATACTTGTACATTATCAACAAGTAAGTAAACACATTTACAATTAATAGTACCTTATTTACACCTACGAAAACATATTAACAAATACTTGTACATTATTTACACTGACGTAAACATATTTACAATTACTTGTACATTATCAACAAGTACGTAAACACATTTACAATTAATAGTACCTTATTTACACCTACGAAAACATATTAACAATTTAACAGTACTAAAGTGGATCCTAGATCAGAATCAGTTCAGCCAACATATTACTTAATGTCCTGTTAGACTGACTTTCATTGTTGTGTGTTTTGTTAGACGGAGTTGGAGAGAACACTGAACAGTAAGGTTCTAACACTACAGTCCTCAATGGCCCCACAGTCAACCTCTCGTCACAGTCTCACGGAGGACGACCTCGGCCTACTGCACGAACTTGCACAGGTATTTAATGTCACTGAATTACTACACCCAGTGTAATCTAGTACCAACTGTGGTGGAATGACTTAAGCTTTCAGCTTTCTTTCACTGGTGGCCGCACATAGCACCTTAAACTAGGAGATCACTTTTCACTTTATAATGAGTTTTGTGAATTTATTTATTTTTCACCAAAGACTTTCTTGTTTGTGATGTTGTCTTTGACTGGGACATCTTGATCTACTTTACCTTAAAACTGTTAAATTGCCACCATTCATCAAACAAGATTTTGGCACCATAGATAAAACTTGGTATTTAGCACTTAATTGAGGGGGACACATAAAGAAATTACTTGAAAAGTAAAGGGAAAAGAACACTGAAATATGCCGGCAGTAAACAAGGTTGAAACTGCAGTGAGGGGAATTAAATGTAGGTACAACAATTTTAGATGTCTCCATTAATTACTGAGTTTGATACGATTTTCTTTCCTCCCCACAGGGTAACATTCAGCGTTCACGGCTTATATCTGACCAGCTGGAGGAGGCTAAATCGAACATGTTCAAAGTGCTGGAACACAAAACCAAAATTACAGAGATTATTAATAAACACATGAGCAAGAGACCTATCAAAAAGAAGGAAAGAACGTAGCAGGATCATGGAGAATTTTGTGGACAAATGATTGTGTTCAGTACTGGAAAACTAGGGCAATCACTATGACCTTTGACCCTGTCTGGGTATAAAGGAGAGTATCCATGGAGGACTGGGAAATAAAACCCCAAAAGGACCATGTATGCAGTCTAGATCTATGGAGGAATATCCACAGTCACCATATGGGTACTGCCATAGTAGTTACTCTGCAAATCGAGGGCAAATGGAGGGACACAGAACAGAGGGTTTGTAGAAATACAAAGTCAATCTGAGGAATGGAATGTCAAGGAGGTTTTTTCTTGATCTTCTAAAAAGATGAATTACACTGAAAGTAGGACTGAATACTTGTGTACTAAGATGACATTCTGATGATCTGTGGAGGGATATCAGATAATGTGAAGCCTCCATAGAAATACGAGACAGTATGGACGGAAAGGATAAGTTATACTTTAAAGTGAAAGCAGGGATATTAAAGGGAAGGTTTTTATCAATGGAATGAACAGGAAAATCATATGTCCAGAGAAATGTGATTGTTTGGAGTGGGGAGATGTATTTTACACAAGTAATGAGGTTTTGATAGAAAAGATTAAGTTTTATAGAATGTGAATGTACTAACAGGACAGTTAAAACTGTATAGAAATCTGAAGAAAAAGATTTGAAGGATAAAATTATGGAGTGCAATGTGGAGGGATGTAGCAATTTTTGAGATGTTAAGTCTGAATGATAAAATGCTATAGAAAAAAGGAAATGAAAGTACATGTTAACTTTAAAATGTGAAGGTTCAAAAAAGTATATCTATGGCATAGAAAGGTAGAAAACTGTAGAAATACTACAGTAAACGGAAGAAAGAAGTAATACAAATCTTAGGGAGTAAATTTTTAAACTTTTATAAAGGGATGTAATTCTACAAAATTACCTGTCTTTATTTACATCCAAATATATTACACACCAGTGCTATCAAATGAACTTTACCTTAAACAAAGGTTGGAAGAGTCCACTTTGATGAGAAAGGTGTGATAGGTTGTGAGAAGGTTTCCTATTCAATGGTGATGTTGAGATGGATATGGAACAGGAATTACATTTCCTAAACTGTGAAATGTTAACTGAAACAATCAAGTCATTGCTGTAGGGATACTTTCTCTGGATATATATACATTAATGAATTTATTTGTATTAAATATTTGAGAAAAAGTCCTCATTAAATATGGAAATACAAGTTTGGCTTTGATTTTCTTATTGATATTGTCAATATTTAGTAGGTATTATCTTATTTAACCATTAAGTTGTGCTCAATATTAAGTCCACCCTCCGTTAATCAGACATCACAGTTGATGATCATTTCTGAAATTAGCCCTTACTTGACCAATTTTACTGTCATTTTTACTAAAACTGAAGCAAAGGTGATATACAGGGATAGCTGTCGGCTTCAATGAAGGCTTTGGTTTTTCATGCCACTCTCTACACAATATGACATAAATCATGTACATATGGAGCAAACTTGTTTATCATTTCTCAACAAATAAAATCGCTCTATTAATCCTTGGAAGATTAATAAAGTCAATAACCTGTAACTGAGCGAGATTGGCCTATCTCAGTCTAAGGTTAGAATTCTGTAACAAAATCCCAACCGAGGCCTAAGCCGATGCTGGGATGTTACAGAATCTTAGCCCGAGACTGAGATAACCCAATCTTGCTCAGTTACAGGTAATTGATTTTTTTTCTCGCACCTTTTAGTTCAAAAAAAACCTGTTCAATTTTGCTAAAAACTACAAGTATCCCGCCTTGGGCCTCAAATGAGAATGACCTCTTCACTATAGCTACTTAAGCTACATTTGAACGCTTCCGGGTAAAAATGTAGTTTGTCCTTACATAGATGACAACGTATTTCACAGTGTAGATTATATTTTATCTACAACATCAAATATCTAACAACATCAAAACTATACATACAACGACAAAACAGAACATTTAAAAAAAGAACCAGATAGACCCTATCTATATGGACAAGATGACCAGAAGATCACTTTAGGACGTGAGAGTGAACAAAGGAACAAACGTAGTATCGGGTAACACCTAGTCATTGCGCAGCTCAAACTCAGCCTCAGCGTCACAGGTAACAGAGAACGTCTGAAGAACACAGAGAAGACCAGTTCCAGGGTATTTTAAAACAAGTATCAAGTGCTCCAGTACCTGATTGAAGACGAAGAGACGATAGACATTACATGGAAGGGAGTGAAGGTGGACTTTGTTTCAGGTTATTCAGAAATTCTTGGCCCCAAATAATAATGGTTATTAGCAAGTATCAAGTGCTAACCAGTATTATTAATTCACTCCGGTAAAATAGTCACCGCTCCCTTCCGACTCTGCTTGGGAGAATGTTTTTTGAGCTAACTCGGTAGAGCGTCAGACCAGTAAAGCAGAGGCCGGATTTGTACCCTGGTAGAGACATTACAATGAAAACATATTGGCCTCTGTTAAATTGGCACCCACATAGGAGAGTACTGCACTTTCCTAATGCTGACGAGATTGCCATGACCCCTGGAAAGAACCGTGACTAGTACTTTCCTGCAGGGGATGTATGCAACCTTGTTCAAATACAATCTGCTTCCCACCGACTTCGTTAAGGAGTAATTCTCTGAAGCTCATTTGGTAGGGCGTTAGACTAACAAACCAGACGGGTTCGATCCCTAGCGGATGCTGTGGCTAACAAGCTTTGTACAAAGACGGGATCTGATCTACAGTAGGATACTGGGGCTAACAAGCTTTGTACAAAGACGGGATCTGATCTACAGTAGCATACTGGGGCTAACAAGCTTTGTACATAGATGGGATCTGGTCTACAGTGGGATACTGGGGCTAACAAGTTTTGTACATAGAAGGATCTGATCTACAGTGGGACACTGGGGCTAACAAGCTTTGTACATAGAAGGATCTTATCTACAGTGGGATACTGGGGCTAACAAGCTTTGTGCATAGACGGGATCTGATCTAGAGTAGGATACTGGGGCTAACAAGCTTTGTACATAGACGGGATCTGGTCTACAGTGGGATACTGGGGCTAACAAGCTTTGTACATAGAAGGATCTGATCTACAGTGGGATACTGGGGCTAACAAGCTTTGTACATAGACAGGATCTGATCTACATTAGGATACTGGGGCTAACAAGCTTTGGACATAGACGGGATCTGATCTACAGTGGGATACTGGGGCTAACAAGCTTTGTACATAGACGGGATCTGATCTACAGTAGGATACTGGGGCTAACAAGCTTTGTACATAGACGGGATCTGATCTACAGTAGGATACTTGGGCTAACAAGTTTTGTACATAGACGGGATCTGACCTACAGTAGGATACTAGGGCTAACAAGCTTTGTACATAGACGGGATCTCATCTACAGTAGGATACTGGGGCTAACAAGCTTTGGGATATAGACGGGATCTGATCTACAGTAGGATACTTGGGCTAACAAGCTTTGTACATAGACGGGATCTGATCTACAGTAGGATACTAGGGCTAACAAGCTTTGTACATAGACGGGATCTCATCTACAGTAGGATACTGGGGCTAACAAGCTTTGGGATATAGACGGGATCTGATCTACAGTAGGATACTGGGGCTAACAAGCTTTGTACATAGACGGGATCTGATCTACAGTGGGATACTGGGGCTAACAAGCTTTGGATATAGACGGATCTGATCTACAGTGGGATACTGGGGGTAACAAGCTTTGTACATAGACGGGATCTGATCTACAGTGGGATACTGGGGCTAACAAGCTTTGTACATAGACGGGATCTGATCTACAGTGGGATACTGGGGCTAACAAGCTTTGTACATAGACGGGATCTGATCTACAGTAGGATACTGGGGCTAACAAGCTTTGTACATAGACGGGATCTGATCTACAGT